AAAAAAAAAAAAAAAAAACCAGTTAGGACTATATGAGTTTCAGGGTAGAATGGAACATAGAGACCCCATCTCAAAAAACAAAACAAAAAATAATTAAAAACGAAATTTAAAGTAGCATATGCAGTATCTTCCAATTGCTTGTTTTCTATTTTTGGAGGGGTTGGGAACCAGGTGTCCCTACATAGCCCTGGCTGTGCTGTCCTGGAACTCATTGTGTAGACCAGGCTGTCCTCAAAATCACAGAAATCTGCCTGCCTCTGCTGGGATTAAAGGCATTTGCTACCATATCTAGTCTACCTTCCAATTTAAAGAAGCCAAATGGAGGGGCTGGAGAAATGGCTCAGAGGTTAAGAGCACAGACTGCTATTCCATAGGTCCTGAGTTCAATTCCCAGCAACCACATGGTGGCTCACAACCACCTTGAATGGGATCTGGTGCCCTCTTCTGGTGTACAGATATACATGGAAGCAGAATGTATTCATAATAAAACAAATAAAATCTTTATATAATATATATATAAAGAAACCAAATGGATAATTGCACCTCCTACACTCTAACAGCCCAACGGTGCTTTTTACTCTTCATTACTTTCCAAATACCTCCTCAATTATCACTGTTTAGATGAGGCTGTAGACTAGGTATTTCCTGTAAATATGTCCCTCTGCCCTTAAGGAACTGTCTTCATCTAGACCAGCGAGTTAACTTTCCTAATGCTGTGACCCTTTAACACAGTTCCTCATGGTGTGGTGACCCCCAACCATAACATCTTTGTTGCTACTTCATAACTGTAATTTTACTGTTGTGAATTGTAAATATCTAATCTGCGACCCCCAGGTTGAAAACTCATCTAGTCTAAAAAGCTATTAAAGATTTTAAGCCCTGGCTTCCTGTATGGGCACCTGTGAAGCAGTTCCCCGACCTGTCTCAAGTATCTGAGCACAGATACACCAAGTGTTTGCCTGTTGTCTTCCCTACCTGACCACCAAGAATAAGGCTGTGGCTAACTACAGGGTAACCAGGATGACCTTTCCCTCGCAAGATATAGAGGGTTTATTCTACATTATAGAAATGCTACCTACACCCAAGGTCCAAAAACCAGTTGAAATTAAACTGATGCAGCCCCTCACCACGTAGGACACTGTCCACTGTTATTTAATGAGCTTAAATAACTAAACCTTGGATTCTCCACAACTACTATGAACTTTGCTCTTGAGGAAGTCCCCACCATTGTTTATCTGATGAGCAATCAGACTGGCTGTTGGCTGCCCTCTGCTACTCCTTGCTGCCTAAAGTTTCACAAGGCAGCAATCCCTGGGTGAGGTTCCCAGACAAGCAGCAGAGCTTGTGTGGGCTGCTGCACAAGCAAAGATTTACCTGAGCAAAGGAAAGGAAGGGAGAGTCTTCTTCCAGGCTTCCAACGCAGAAGGAGGGACTGCCCTGACTGGCAGTGGGTGACAAAGGGGTCAGCAGAAAGTCTGAAAGGGAATCAGAGACCTGATTACATGAGTCACGTTCCAAAGAGCGAACATCCTCTGAACAAGAAATAACCATGGAAGCCAGGCATGGCGGCAAGGGCCTGTAACCCCACAACTCAGGAGGCTAAGGAAGGAGGGTATTTGATGTCTCAGCTCTGGCAATGTAGTGAGTTCCAGAAGAGCCTGGCTTCCGAGTGTGACCTTGTTCAGAGAGGGAAGGGAAGAGGAAGAGAGGAAGAGATAACTAAAGGTAATCCTTGATTCCAATGTTAATTCTGCCATGTTCTTACCCAACAAGAACATTGTGCATTGGGGGCTGGAGAGATAGCTCAGAGGTTAAGAGCACAGACTGCTCTTCCAGAGGTCCTGAGTTCAATTCCCAGCAACCAACCACATGGTGGCTCACAACCATCTGTTATGAGATCTGGTGCCCTCTTCTGGTGTGCAGATATACATGGAAGCAGAATGTTGTATACATAGTAAATAAAAAATAAAAATCTTAAAAACAAAACAAAACAAAAAACTGTGCATCACCCACAGCAAGACAGTCCTTCCCGAAGGAAAAGGTTACACCTTCCTCACAGGTTGGTTCTCAAGCTAGGGTGCCTCCTGACTGTAATCCTAGCACTTGGGAAGTTCAGGTAGGTGCATCAAGACTTCAAAGCCACTCTGGGCTACATTGCAAACCTGTCTCAAAGATTAGTTCTTTACCTTGGACTGGTTTTATGTGGACGGACAACTTCAAGAAAAAAACCACCCAGATCCCCATTTATGCTGGCCACTACAACATGGAAATAGTTATGATTCAAGACACACACACACACCCCAAGTTAGTCTTCTTAGAAGAGTCCTTTCTCACCCACAGTGGCATCTCACACATCAGTCTTTCTACTGCCTCGGGTACTGCTAGGCAAGGGGTGCCATGACTCACTAAACAGCTATTTGACAGTTTCACTCCGAGGACCAAACTATCCCTCCTGATGACTCTAAAGCCCAGACATGCAAACAAGCAAAACAAACCCTGGTACAGGAAAAAACACTCTCCACCCCACAGACAGGGTACCCAGTGATTCACAGCATTCACTCGGGCAGCAGTTTCCTAGTTAACTAGCATCATGGTTAGACTACCCCAAGAACCAAGTGTTAGCCCCAGTTCCTGTCACTAAAGTTCCTGAACACTATTAGTCTCAAGATCTGTGCAGGATAGTTTTCATGTCAACTTTATATCAACTAAGGTAACCTAGGAAAAAGGACTCTTTTTTTTCCACTGAGACAATGCCTCCATAGGACTGGCCTGGAGGCAACTCTGTAGGGCATTGGTGACTGATGAGGAAGGGCCCAGTGTACTGTAGCAGGTGGTCCACATCCAGTTCATAAATAAACGTTTAAGTGAGCCATTTCCCTACTGTGCATTCAGTAGTCATTTTCCCTACTCATTACAATCAATATTACAACAGACATTAACAAACATGCTCAAACATGAAAATCAAGAGAGGAAAACAAACAAACAAACAAACAAACAAACAAAAAACCAAACCAACAAAAACCCAGAACAGATGGGTCAGAGGAAACGAACTGCATTGAGGATTGGAGAAGCAAGCAAAGTCTAATAAACCAGTATAACCAATGGGAAGGAGTGATAAAGCAAGAATCAATGTAGCTCAGGACCAACTGTCAAGTTTTTCATTTAAATGTCACATTATGCAAAGTTGGCCAGAGTTGTTTGCTTAAGGTCTAGGGCCTAGAGAATTGGTTCAGTAGTTAGGAGCACTTGTTGCACTTGCAGAGGACCTGGGTTTGGTTCCCAGCAGCCACAGGTAGCTGCTGTAGGCACTAGCAGGACTGACTCATTAAGTATCAGTTCTTTACCTGCATGAGAACTGGGACTTCTGCTAAGAGGAGAAAGGGAGAGGGCCCCATGGCCCTCGGTGCTGGTGGGACCCACAGCAGAACCAGAGGAGCAGGTGTAGGAATTGAAGGCAGGAAACTGCTGAAGGTTCTCCAGGGGAATGTGGACTTCAGGATCTGCAAAGAAAGGTGATATAAGCCCACAACACAACTGAATTTTCTCTAGAGGGTCTGGAGGGCCTAGAGGATGCAAACAATTATGAATCTATGTCTGTGTAATCCATGCTATATGTAATCCAACACGCAGGAGGCGAAACAGAGCAAATTCGGGGCTACCCTAGGCTATATAAACCAGACCCCACTCCCTAAACATTTAGGGAAAACTGGCTCTGGTGTGAGCCTATACAACTTCAGCACTCAGCAGACAGATATAGCTCAAGGTTAGCCAGGTCTACACTGTAAGTAGTTTCAGGCTAAACAGTGAGCTGTTGTCTTAAAAACAAAACACAACAAAAAACTTTAATGAAGTAAGAGATAAGAGAAAAAACAATAAAACTTTTCTTGAGACATTTATTTTCTCAAAGTTAAGGGTGTGTACCAGCTACAAAGTCCTAGAACCCCAAGCATAACTTACTCCACTCTAACAAGTCACCCATTTATGTTTGCCACACTGGACGGAATCAGGAAAGTGCTAAAAGTCCTCATTCTCCCCCCTCCCTCTCTCTCTCTCTGATAGGGTTCTCTGTGTAACAGAGCCCTGGCTGTCACTCTGAAGACCAGGCTGGCCTCAAACTCCCAGAGATCCATCTGCCTCTGCCTCCCGAGTGTTGGGATTAAAGGCATGCGCCACCCATGTCCCACCTTAATTTTTTTTAAATTAATTTTTACTAAATTGAAAACAATTTTATTTTCATGGGAAAGAATTAAAGAAAGCAAATGGCAGAGCATAAGCTAAGTAGCTTAGCTTCTGGGCAAGGAGCTGAAGAAACACACAGCAAAGCTAAGCAAACACAACTCTTGAACTTACACCTGCCCTGTCTCTTGTTCTCCTCCATTTCAATTCTGCGCTCTCGGCGACGCTCCTCTCGAGCCTTCTTTTGGCGCTGACGCTTCCTTTTCTCAATGTCATCTGTGGGTTGGTCAAGTTGTAAGAAAGCCAGATCCCCAACCCTTAGCTCTTCCTGGATGACCAGTGGCTAGTGGGGCATCTGGACACAACTCCCACACTAGGTTCCCAGTACAAAGAGAAGCAAACAGGGCTTTCTCACCTGAGAACATCTCTAGGGTTTCCTTAGAGACCACAGGAGGCTGCAGAGCCAGTTCACAGATGCTGAATTCACAGGTGAGTGGCAAGTGAGAGAGATACCTATGGCGCTGTCGAACATCCTACATTGGAAACAGAACCAATGCTCAACTGCTCTAGAGGGCAGAGGATCCCAACTTAGAATCCCTGCAGTATACACACTCAGCACCAGGACTGGTCCTGCCCTTTTGAAAACCAGACACCATGGCAGCCTACAGTCAGAACATCCATCAGACTCAGGGGTCTTTGGATTGAGCTACAAGTGAGTACACTGAGCCCAGTAATCAGATGACCTCTTTGCTGCCCACCATTTCTAATTGTTGAGGGCCACAATCACAATCATAATCAGAATGAGAACAGGGATAAGCAAAGAGTACCTAGACAATGAAACAAAAACAGCCTGGAACTGGGAGCCACTGACAAACCAGGAAAGAAGGAAAAAGTGAAGCAAGAGCCCTACTGAGTGAAGTGTGGCCTGGAACACAAAACCAAAGCCTGTCCACTTAAATTTCCACTCTTGAAAAAATTTATTTATTATATATACAGTGCTCTGCCTGCATGTACACCTGCAGGCCAGAAGAGGGCACCAGATCGCATTACAGGTGGTTGTGAGCCACCATGTGGTTGCTGGGAATTGAACTCAGGACCTTTGGAAGAGCAGCCAGTTCTCTTAACTTCTGAGCTATCTCTCCAGCCCAAATTTCTACTCTTTTTCTGGATTTATTTCATGTAAGTTTGATGATACCCAAGGGTCTTTAATTTTATGTCTACAATTTTGTAAATAACAGGCATATTTACTGAGTGACAAAAACTCACATATGTACACCATGAAACCACAATTCAAAGCTATCTTCCAACTAAAAACATACTTTCCACCAGGCAGTGGAGGCACACGCCTTTAATCCCTGCACTCAGGAGGCAGAGGCAGGCAGATCTCTGAGTTTGAGGCCAACCTGGTCTACAGAGTGACTTCCAAGATAGCCAAGGCTATACAGAGAAACCCTGTCTTAACCCCCAACACAAAACACCATACTTGTTGCCTGTGTAACCTAGTTTAAAACTGTGGGGTTTTGAACATTTCTTTCAAGCAGTAAGCAAAGAGAAAAGGCAAGGGTGTGGTGGTGCACACTGGGCTGGCTAGCCTCTCTACATAAGAAATTCTAGAATAGCCAGAGCTGCATTACAAGACTCTGTCTCACAAAAAAAAATAAAAATAAATTTAAAAGGGGGATGGGGCAAGAATTTCATATGGAATGAAAAAGAAGATATCAATACCGCAAGCCCCAGAAAATGCCCCTGATAAGCAGGGCAGTACAATTGACATTGAGCCCTGGCAAGATCTGAGAGCAGCATCTAACAGTGACACAATTCACTGCACTGTCACCAACAGAAAGATGTAAACATTAGGTTACAGGGGTAATATATATATATATAAAATCTATCTCAGGGATACAATTTGCCAGCGTTCACAAAGCTTCAGTTGGATTGTTACTGAGGACAACAATAAGCTTAAACAAAAGACAATTAAAACAAACCACAGCCCTTCTGAGGTGGAGGCAGGAGGATCAGAAGTTCGGACATCCTTGGCTATATAGCCTATGCTTCATGAGACACCATCTCAAAAAAAAACAAAAAAAACAAAAACAAAAACAAATAATGGTCAAGTGTAGTTGGTACACACCTTTAATTCCAGCACTTGGGAGGCAGAGGCAGGTGGATCTGAGTATGAGGCCAGTCTGGTCTACAGAGCAAGTTTCAGGACAGTCAGAGCTACGTAAGAGAGTCCCTGCCTCAAAAAATAAACAATAAGCCACAACAAATAAACACATAAAGGGCTCTAAAGGTTTGTAACCTTACTCTGGTGAGTCCCACCCCAAGAGCTTAGGTTCATGTCACAGCCTGCCCTTTCCTCTACAGAAAGCCTTACCTCAGACATGGAATACCCAGCAATCTCTACCACTGTTGCAGAGATCTTCTCTGGGCTCTGCTCCAGGCTGCCATACTCCCGAACAAGGCAGCGCACATTGACTGGGTGCAGGAACATGTGTTGTCCATCCTCCGCTAAAGACAAGAGCTGTATTACACAAGCCCTGGCCAGCCTTCAGCATGGACCTCTCCCAGCTAGGCCTGCCACTCCTACTTCCTGCTAGAAAGCAGTGAGCCAACCCCCAGGATCTAGCAAAGACACCCCCCAACCCTGTTCAGAGTGCCAGGTCATCCCTTTCAAAGGCTTCTGAGGAAACCCAGCCCTCCACCCTGGGGTCCCTCACCTTGGTAGAAGTAGTAACAAGGAGAGCTGCTCAGCTGGGTGAAGCCTGGTTTAGTGATGGGTTCCTCCTGGCTTGACTCAGTACAAATGGTCCCCTCCCCAAGATTGTCATCTGCTACCTCTGACTCCTCACAGGCTTCTGGCAACCCCTCAGGTTCTGGCTCAGACACTGCTTCCTCCTCTTCTACCAAAGGGAGAGCAAGAGAACGAGGGGAGTCCAGAGAACAAACTTCTGCAGTTTCTTCTTCGAAAGCAGACAGATACTCTAGCACACCCTGTTGGAACAAACCACAAGTCAACAGAGGGTATTATGTCCTGTTTCATAAAATGGTGTGGCAAAGATAGGCCTAAGATCCCAGGATATTCATTTGAGCTCTCATTGGTCATCACCACCCCTGGAAAACTGACAGGCCTGGTCATAGGGCACAGCCAGCATTTCTTACTCACACTAGCACCAAGGCTCACAGCAGTCTGAAGAATGATAGTCACTCTGTTCTAACAGGCACACTAACCTTTCTGGGTTGGAAAACAGACTCCTTCACCAGGGGAGCCATCAGCACCAGTTGCTCCAGAGCAGTCACAACACCAGTGACCTCCCCTCTGCCTCCAGCTACTCCAGACAGAGCCTCTTCCCGAATCTAAGGCCATCAGAGAAAAGACCAGAAACACTCATTTTGAAGGTCAAACAGTCAGTTCAAGTTTAAGAATTCCTGCTGTGGAGGCATAGGAGCTACTGAATTCCTTCTTTGGCTACCTGTATGTAGTCCACGTCTTTAACAAGTGCTGCTAAGGCCTGGTGGGTAAACCATAATACTCTCTCCACAATGCCTCCCAAAACACTTGGATAACTCAAGCATTTTCCTAGACAAGAAAAAAAACTACCTTGCTTATCAACTCACAGCTCAAATAGTAACCCACTGTCACAGTGAGTCACAGAAACATTCTGAGCTGTTACTTCTAGCTCTAGGAAAACTCTGTAAGTTGGCCCTTCCTTCCTATCACCACTTAAATGGCTTTTTCAGCCACTTCCTGGAGCTGAGGGAACTTGGTTTTCAGTTCAGTGTACTTACCTTAACCTCCTGGATAGCGGCCTCAATAAAGCAGGACTCAGGAGTGTGCTTCTCCTCTGCGAGCTGCTGCTCCAGTGCTACTTTCTCTTCTAGAACTACTCGGTGCAGCACCTGCTCCTTAGAGGCCAGCAGCAACTTGGAGTACTGGCTGTGCTGTTCATCTGCAAGAGAGGCAATGGATCACAAAACAGCTCTCCAGGAGGGAGGTGCTGGGACTAAATACAAGTTGTCTCATATATGCTTTTCTGCCCAAGGCAGAAAAAATGAGACTTAGTATAACTTCCTGGAAACAATTTTTTTTTGTTTTGTTTTGTTTTGTTTTTCGAAACAGGGTTTCTCTGTGGCTTTGGAGGCTGTCCTGGAACTAGCTCTTGTAGACCAGGCTGGTCTCGAACTCAGAGATCCCTCTGCCTCTGCATCCCAAGTGCTGGGATTAAAGGCGTGGGCCACTACCGCCAGGCTCATTAACGACAATCTTAAACCAGGTTAATTCAAGAAGTCTAAGAAACCAGAAAGAAAAAAGGAGCTGCGGAGATGGCTCAGTGGTTAAGAGCACTGGTTCCAGAGGACCCACATGGCAGCTCACGACTGTCTGTAACTCCAAATTTGACACCCTCACACAGAAATATACGGAAGCAAAACATCAATTTACATAAAATAATGAATTAAAAAAATGAATTATGTCTAATGTTTACATCTACCATAAGGGACGTGTAGAAAGATGGCTCTCTAAGATGAGGCATTAGTGATGCGAACAAACATTGTGTCCTACACATCACTGTACATTCTTGTGTTAAGAAAGAAATGGACTGGAGGACAGCTCAGCAGTTAAAAAAGTTTGATTCCCAACACCTCCATAGCAGCTCACAAAGGTCTCTAAACCAGTGCCAGGGGAATCGGACTCCCTGTTCTCGTGTGCCGATGGCACCGCACACACGATACACAGACACATGTAGGCAAAACACCCAGACACAGAAAATACAGTAATTTTAAAAATAAAACAGGCCGGGCATTGGTGGCGCTCGCCTTTAATCCCAGCACTCGGGAGGCAGAGGCAGGAGGATCTCTGTTTGAGGCCAGCCTAGAGCAAGTTCCTACACAGCCTCCAAAGCCACAGAGAAACCCTGTCTTGAAAAACAAAAACAAAAACAAAAATAAAACACATATCTCTGTTTGAGGCCAACCTGTTTTACATAGTCTGTTACAGGAGAGCTGGAGCTACATAATGAGACCCTATCTTCAAAATAAAATCCCTATACCATAAAAAACAAAACAAGTTGTCAAACTAGCATATCTAATCCCAATCTCACAAGAATGAGTGAATTGAAAAAGCCTAACATTTCAGGCACCTTTAAGGAAAAGACTTGTGAATAGCTTATTTCCTACTTCCTTCCCTAATTCTTTGGTATTCTTTTTGTTGTTTGCTTGGATTTTTTGGTTTCTCTGCAAAACAGTCCTGACTGTCCTGGAACTCACTCTGTAGACCAGGCTGGCTCAAACTCACTGAGATCCACCTGCCTCTACCTCCTGAATGCTGGGATTAAAGGGGTCCGCCACCACCGCCTGACCCCAATACTTTGGCTTTAATGAGACAGTGTCCCATGAAGCCCAGGGTAGCTCCAACTTGTTATGTAGCCAAAGGTGACCTTGAACTTCCAGTCTCAGCCTCCTAAATGCTGGGATTGCAGGTGTGCACCACCCTTTTATTTGTGTTCTGTCACCAGCGCATGCTAGACGACCACTCTTGCCCCTCTGCTACATCCCTTGCCTTTGTTCTGAGCCAAGTTCTCATTACATGGCCTAGGCTAAAACTGATTTTTGTTGTTGTTGCTTTTGTTTTTGAGACAGGGTTTCTCTGTGGACAGCCCTGGCTATCCTGGAACTCACTGTACAGACAAAGCTAGCCTCGAACTCACAGAGATCCACCTACCTCTGCCTCCCAAGTGCTAGACTAAAGGCGTGCACCACCACCACCTCCACCCAGCTTCTTCCAGTTGTTTGCCCTCTGAATGACTCATGCTTACCTCCTAGATGAATGGGATGGTCTACATTCATCCACTTGGATTTAGGCAAGGCCACCAACACTCCTTTCTCTCTCTTCATCAGCTGCATTGTAATGGTATCACCCACAACGTACTGGCGTGATTCTGTGGCAACAACACTGAGACAAAAACATTGTTGAGATGAAGTAGAGTGAGGAAACAGCAGCCTAGGGTCTAAGGCAACTCTCAGTCTTACCTCTTGAGGTCTTTCTTATGCACAGAACTGTAGCAGATGGGACATTTACTCCAGGCTTTCTCACTGAGTGAAAGGTAGTGCAGGATGCACGCCCAGCAGAAAATGTGTCCACAGCGGGTTATCTTGGCTGCAGTCGGTGGATAGAGGCATATTGGGCAAGATGGCACTTCATGGCTACAGATGCGCTGAAACATAACAGCACAGCGTCACTGCCTTCAGAACTGGCCAGGTAAGAGGCTGAGAAAGTCAGAAGCCTCTCCTCTCACCCTCTTACATCTCATCACTTCATAAAACTGTTCAACAGAAGAGTCGGCTGAGGGGCTGGAGAGATGGCTCAGTGGTTAAGAGCAGTAGATGCTCTTCAAGAGGACCTGGGTTCAATCCCCAGCACCCACATGGCAGCTCACACCTGTCTGCAACTCCAGTTTCAGGGGATCTGGTATCCTTACACCAATGCATATAAAAAAAAGTTAAATAAAGTATTTAAAAAAAAAAGAAAAAGGCCGGACGTTGGTGGCACACACCTTTAATCCCAGCACTCGGGAGGCAGAGGTAGGGGGATCTCTGGGATCTCTGTGAGTTCGAGACCAGCCTGGTCTACAAGAGCTAGTTCCAGGACAGCCTCCAAAGCCACAGAGAAACCCTGTCTCAAACAAACAAACAAAAAATGAAACCAGTTTAATAATACAAGTGTAAGTGTAAGGATGAACACACTTTAAGCAAATTAAGAAAGCCACAATCATGGGCTAATCCAACAGGATAGATTAATAGACACTTGGAGGGTTCTATATTACAAAGAAAAATGACATAAATCACATGATCCCATTGTTTTTTTTGTTTTTTTTTTTTTTTTTTTTTTTTTTTTTTTATTTTTTTTTTTTTTTGGTTTTTCCAGATAGGGTTTCTCTGTGGCTTTGGGGGCTGTCCTGGAACAACCTCTTTGTGACAGAGCTGGTCTCAAACTCACAGAGATCCACCTGCCTCTGCCTCCTGAGTGCTGGGATTAAAGGCATGCGCCACCAACGCCCAGCTCCCATTAAGTTTTTAAGTATGTATTTAAAAGGAATAAAAGTCCAAATTTAATTTACTGATAACTCCCAACAGAGTAGTGTTTTTATCCAATGTATAAAAGTGTTTTTTCTTACAAGGCACTCTACATCATTCTTAGGTCATTGTATACCTTTTAAAAGTAACAGGAGTCCAAATTTGTCAGAAGAACGTAACATAAAAAGTAAGAGCACTTATTATTTTCAAAGTAACTACCTGATACACCCTGTTAGGATCAGCAAGGAAACACAAGTTAATAACCTCAACAGAAAAAAAAAAAAAAAAAAAAAAAAAAATGCAGGCCGGGCGTTGGTGGCGCACGCCTTTAATCCCAGCACTCAGGAGGCAGAGGCAGGTGGATCTCTGTTGAGTTCCAGGCCAGCCCGATCTCCAGAGCGAGTGCCAGGATAGGCTCCAAAGGTACACAGAGAAACCCTGTCTCAAAAACCCCAAAGAGAAAATGCAAGAGTGACTACAGAAAATGCAATCACCTGGTAATTTGATACAAGGGGCTGCCAATGAAGAAATGTCCATGTATCTGAGCTCACCAAGGCTAGGAGGGTAACAAAGAGCTCCTCTAACAGACTCCTTGATATGACTTCCTCAACGAGCAACTGACAGAAAGGAATGCTTATGTGCCCTTGGAGCAGAGCCTTCCACATCCCAAATCTACTTGGTAACAAAATGAACTCCAAGAGAAATGAGGAACTGACCTCAGGGATAAGTGTCATAGGCTAGTCAAAAACTGGTATCCAAAGTTTAAACCGCAAAGAGCTGTTTTGTCACAGCCTTTCTTTAGCTCTCCCACTGATGATTACAAAACTTGGCGAAGCCACTCACCACTTGTTCCACAAAGTCCCAGTTGACTAAGGTGTCAGGATCAGCAAAATGAGCTGCATAGTCCTGGTCTTCAGACACCACAAACTGACAGCTAGAAAGCAGGAAAGACAGGGAGAGAGGAGACTGTCAGAACCACTAGGACCTCAGTAGAAACTCACCAACCCTCAAAGTTCTGATGCTGGACAAGAGCAGCCCAGGCTGCCAGGCTGCGGAAGCATGACCCCAGACATTAGCCACAGCTCTGAGCCCTGGCTTGGTGACAAGTCTAGACTTAACACACAGATGCCTAAATCTATCGACTATTTCTTCTGCTTCCAAGCCCAGCCAAGTTCCCTGTTGTTCTCCCATGAACTAAAATTAACCCAGACTGAGACTTCCTCCCAACCCTTGGACCCTATGAACACAGCTCATCTTCAAGGCAGTAGAAAGCTGTTCTCAATCACGAGAGCAGTCCGCACTAAAGTACACACTGGTGCTTTAGTTTATACCCAAGGTCCAAGCTTCTATCTAACGACTCACAAAAGAGGAAGGGAGGGGAAGGAATGGCTTGCCTGCCTACTCCATCTTTGTTAGTTCCTAGCAATGAGCCTTCCTAGAACTGTGGAAAGTAACAGTTGGCCTCCACGTGTGCAACAGGGAAACACATACACAAATACATGCTGGAGAGAGGACAGTTTAAAAGAAAATACTGCTCTTGCAGAGAACCGGTGAGTTCGGTTCCTAGCACTCATGTCAGGAGGTCAAAGCTGCCTGTGACTCCAGTTATAAGGGAACTGGAAGTCTGTTCCCCTTCCAACACCAGCATTTATGGGCACTTACTCTCACATACAAAACTTAAAATAAAATCTTTAGAGAAACAGGATGCCTTATTATTAAATAAAAATGAAGGCTAACAAAAATTTGTGTGTAAAGCTGTTTTGCGTGCGGATGTCTGCACCAGCTGAATGTAGTGCCCTTAGAGGCCAAAAGAAGGCGTCAGGTGCCTTGTAACTAAAGTTACATATGGCTTGAGATGCCATGTGGGTGCTAGAATAGAACCTAGGTCCTCATCAGGTGTTGGAAGCTCACACCTTTAATCCCTTGAGAGGCAGAGGCAGGTGAATCTCTATGAGTTTGAGGCCAGCCTGGTCTACAGAGCAAGTTCCAGGACAGCCAGGACCACACAGAGAAACCCTGTGCCAAAAAAAACCAAAAACAAACAAACAAACAAAAAGGAATCTGGGTCCTCTAGAGGAGAAGCTAGTGCTCTTAAACTTAACCTAACTTTGTGCCTGGTAACTAATACGGCCTTGAGGGAGTCAAGGGTTTTCCCACTCACAATGGAGGCCCCAGATAGGATTCACAGCCCGAGAAATACCTGTATGAGCTGCACCAGGCAAAGAACCCCAGAACTTAAGTCAAATGTGCCCTGCAACCCAGGAAGGCACCTGAGAAAACAGGTGCTAAATAAAACACGCTGGCCTGTCCCCGAAGGAGAGCTCACTGTGGAAGATCTGTCTGCCCCTCAGCTCTTCCTCTAAGTTAAGGACACAAGCACATGAATCAGCACTGTTCTTTTCTGGTCCCCACCCTCCCTGGACCCATGATTTCTTCTCAGTCCACTGCCCAGCTTGCACTCAGACCACACGCCGTTCCCAGCCCTGGAAGTTACTCCAAGCACTATGTTCTCTCAACATTCACTTAGAAAGTGTGACAGGGAAAAAAGAACAGCATCCATTTCTGTTTCTGCCCGGTAATAGTTTAGAGGAAGCTTCTCTCCAAGAAATTCAACCATCTAAGCAGGTTTAATTTTTATTTTTTCCCTAGAAGTGGAAATACTCACTTGGCCTGTAAAAAAAGTTCCTTGTTAAAAGGCTTATGCCCCCACTTGTTTCTTTTTCCCCAGCTGCCATGTCCACTGCCTTCAAAGTGACCTGCCTGGCCACGGGGTTCAAAGGTGAAATTCAACAAGTGGTTCAGGTTGATCTTCTTAGGGCCAGAGAACTGGGCAGGGCTAAACTCTGCCCGCTGAGCCTCTGCTACCTACAAAGAAGGGCAACATTTTAGAATGAAAGAATTCACCAGCTGACAGCAGAAACCGGCACAGCCCCACTTCCACATGGCTGAAAACATCAGCATACCGGCCTAGATGCTGACTTAAGAGCTGTATGGAAGTGGAGAGAGGAGACACCTTCAGCATCTCCTTAACCTGGCCCAGCCTGCTCTTTGCAGCGGCAACAAACTATTCTACTATTCAATGGCAAAGTGCCTCGAAGGCTCTAGTCACCCAGAAGCACAAAGGGCTTCCCTGGGTAACACTGGCTGTCCTTCCTGGGCCTCCGGCTGCAGACCAGGCTGGCCTCCAACTCAGAGATCTGTTTGCCTCTGTTCCCTGACTGCTGGGACTAAAGATCAGAGCCACCACAGCTGGCTCTTCTTTAACCTTTTTTTTTTTTTTTTTGGTAAACCCATATTTTTTTTTATTTCTGAGACAAAGTTTCTCTATGAAACAGCCCTGGCTGTCCTAGAACTTGCTCTGTAGACCAGTCTGACATCAAACTCAGAGATCTGCCCGCCTTTGCTGGGATCACAGGTGTACACCACCACTGCCTGATCTCCCATTATTTCTTTTTACACCCAAGCATAAACCCTGGAGCTCCAACAGAGGCAGTTATGCCACTTCCACTGTGTAGTTCAATGTGGAAGAGAGCTTTTACTAGGCTGCACATGCACATACAGGCCAAAGGATCTTAAGAGGTGCTCATTCCTACAATGCTAGCACTTAAGAAAACAAATCTGTACCCTAGAGAAACCAAGGAAGACATAAAGGAAACATACTGGAAGGGCTTTTTATTCAGGACTACAAATGTGCAGCCTGAGAAATTCTATGTATACAGTATCATTACAACCTTTCAAAACAAGTACAACTGCCAAGTGTGGTGGTTCATGCCTGTAATCCCAACACTTAAGAGGTAAAGGCAAAACACCACTGCAAGCTGGGGGCTAGCCTGTGCTATATTAATAAGAGGTCCAGGCCAGTCTGAACTATAAAGTATCTCCAGAAAACAAACAAACTAGCTATGGTGTACAATTAGACAATTTTTCCCCCTGGATCTAAGAGTTGTACTGTGGGGGCTGGGGAGATGATGGGCGGGCAGCTCCATGCTAAGGAGTACCAAGTGCTCTGGCACAAGACATGGTTTGTTTCCCAGCACCAACACGGTGGCTCCCAACCACCCATTAATTCCATTTCCAGACGATCCAACACCCTCTTCTGTTTTGGAGATTTGTTTGTACTGTCACTCTGAGACCACCAATGGAGTTAAACCTTGATTCAGAGGGTGGAGTCCACATTCAGATGGCAAGAATAAGCTGACTCAGACGAAGATAAGAGAGCACAGAGAGGAAGAAGGAGGGGCTTGGAAAGAGTCTCGACCCTTTTCCATCTGGGAAGGTGAAGAGGGTCAGGTGATCCTTTCTCTGTCGATTTGTGGATCTATCTGGTTTGTACCCCAATATCTGACTCCCAAGCTTTATTTGTTAGTAAAACAATAAAAGCCACTATATCTGGCTATACTCTTCTGACCTCACCAAGTATCAGGCACATGTGGGGTACATACAGACATATAGGCAAAACACTCATTGCTCAAGAGTTACGAGCACTGGCTGCTCTTCTACAGGTCTTCTTGAGTTCAATTCCCAGCAACCACATGGTGAGTTCTGGCTCTCGCGCCCTCTTCTGGCCTGCAGGCATACATGCAGGCAGAAAAAAAAAAATCACACTCATACAAAAAACAAAACAAAACAAAAACAAAACAAACAAACAAAAAAAAAAAACCAAAACTAAATCTTTTTAAAAAATGCCCAGGGGTCGGAGAGAAGGCTCAGCAGTTTAAAGCACCTGTTGCTTTTTCATAGGACTCTTTGGTCCCCATGCCCTACATGGTGGCTCACAGCCATCTGTTCCAGAGGCTGACATCGTCTAATACACAAACAAAACATGAAGGCAAAACACTCACATATAGATGAACTTTAAAAAACACAAAACAAAAACAAAAACAAAAACCCTGCATTCTCAAGCTTCTGTCTTCCCGCTGTCCTGGCCGACCCACTGCCGCTCTCAGGCATTCTCCCTAATTCCTCATTATCCCTATTTCCAGTACACTGACCTCTAAGTTCTGAGACGCCTGGGCTTCCAATTAGCCTGTTCTCACCTGTTTCAGACACCCATTCCTATGGACATGTGTGCTTTCTGGACTGTGTCATTCGGGACAGCAGCTACTAAGTACCCACAGCTACTGACCACCTGAAATGTGACAACAGGTACACTTCAAGTTAAATTTAGATCACATCATTAATTTTTACAGCTTTCTAATTTTTCATTGTGTTTTAGGTAGGCCTCACATAAGCCCAGACTGGCCTGGTGTCAGGTGGCCTTTCTGCCACAGGCTCCTGGAGACACAATGGTGAACACTGACTAGCATGTACACAGCCCTGGGTTTAACCCCCTAAACACAAGCTTTTTAATGCCCATACTGTGCAGCCTGAGGCAGGCAGACCTGAGTTCAAGGCCAGCCCCTGGTCTACAATGCCTCTGGCCAGCCAAGGTTAGAATGAGACCCTGTCTCAAAACAGCAGTTACTGCTCCTGAAGAGAAAAGTGACACCCTCTTTCTCCTGTAGAGCCGATGCTCTCCTGCCTCTGCCTCCCCAAATGTTGGACGGCAAGCCTGCAGCTTGCATTCCTGCTCTACAGTTCAGACCATGCTTTTGACAAACAAATCTCTTCACTGTCGTATCTGAGTATCATTTGAACCAGGAACTCACTATGCTCACAATTTTTGTGGGATTGTTTGTGGTTGAGACAGGCTCTCACTATGTAGCCTGACTTGCTTGGAACTCACGTTATAGACCTCAGTCCACCTGTCTCTTATCTCTGTACACTGGAATTAGAGGCATGTGCTTCCACACCTGCTTAATTCCAACAATTCTTTACCCCTACCCCAGGTCACAAAACCTGACACTTGAGAAAAGAAGCACCATGAGTTAAGACCACAGCCTGCTGCCAAGCCCTCTTGTTACCATGGCTGAATCAGCAGAACTCTTACTGCTGGCTCTTCTATAGCTCACCAAGTCAGGGGCACTGTGCAGCACGCCACCATTTATTTCCCAGGTGTCATTTTCCCTCTCATTAGGAGAGGGATGCTGTAACTATCCTGGCACTAACTAGAAAATCTCTCCTGCAATGACACTTTCTTTTTAATATTTATGGAGGTTTTACTAAGCAAGTTGTGGTGGTGCACATCTGTAATCCCAGTACTCAGGAGGCAGGCAAGACCTCTTAAAGTTTCAGGCTAGCCTGGTCTACATGCAAGTTACAGGTCAACCAAAGCTACATAGTGAGACACTGCCTCAAAATGAATCAATGAATGAATAAGTGAATTCCAGTATGTAGTTGGATCTATGTGAGTTCAAGCCAGCCTGGTTTACACAGAGTTCCACGACTACACAAGTGAGACCCTACCTCAAAACAAGAAACAAGACCTCATTATCAGTTCTTAAAATTACGTGTATGTGTTTGAGTCTGTCTGTGGGCATGTTACAGGGGGTTGTGAGCTAACCCTTCCCTCTCCAGCTCCCCTCACCTTCTCAAACCACCACCTCAGCGCTCTACTTCCCTTTACAGCACAAACAGCAAGCAACTGCCCATGCTGCCATTTCTTCTTCCCACTCTCCGTCAACTCTAGGCCAACCACATTTCTGTCATCATTCCACCAAAATGACTCAAGGCTAATGACCTACTGACCGACCTTCACATTTTGTTATGCTAGTCTTACTCAACAGCAGTACTTGTGCAAAGTGACAAGCATCTCTCATTGGCTCTCAGTTCTTTGCCCCTTCTCATTTGTGCTCCGTGTCTGGTTCCTTCCTGTTCAGAATCAGTGTGTGACCTCCTTAGCAGTTTTAAATTCTAGCAGTGTTTGTTCCTTTGCTTCATTCAGATCTCTCTCAAATCTACTTCTGCAGCTTGGCACAGCAGGCACAGGCCTGTGATCTCAGCACTCAGAATGCTACAGCAGACTGGGCTATACAGTGAGACCTCTCTAAAAATAAAATAAAGTATCTACAGGACAAGAATTCCTCCAGCAGCACTTTATCATGTTCTTTCCCTTTCTCTCCCATTTACACTGTTTAATCAGATAAGCACTTACCATCAGGTATATAACATACTGGTTATTTGACACGCCAGACTAGAGAATTAGCCCCTAGAGGACAAAGACAGTGAATACTGTTTAATGCTGTGCTTCCAACTCCTCAGTTGTTCTTGGCACAATTCCCTATAAGTAAGTAATCCTTTTACAAGTACATCTGCTTGTAAATCTGCCTTGTACTGTAATGACTACACAGTATAGACAGAAAACAACAGGACACTGAACTAGTTTCTTCTCCATCAGTACTTATATTGCTTCCTAAATCCAGCAACCACAACACCCTTCATATCAAGAACCTATCTAAGACAAATCTAAGGACTCCTAAAGACAGATGTCTGAGACTAAGGATATCAGCTTTTTACTCTTCAAGATAAAACATCTCTACAGTGATGGTTAGTACTTAGGTCCTCAAAAGGGTACATAAAACACAACAGTGACTGTAAAGGCTCAGTACACATCTGCTGTCTCACTCATCTCAACCATGACTATGAAGTCTCTACCCCCCCGGGTGTTCATACCCCCTAGAGGAGGAAAGGAGGTAAGGTTCCAGGTCTGGCTAACCCTCAGCTGCTCAGGACAGCCTGGATGTCTGCTCTAACTCTCACTCTTCAGAGAGAAAGGCTGAACCAAAACAAGGCTCCGACGGTCATTCTCGGCTCCATACCTCATCTCGTCTTCCACCATTAGAAGAAGAGCTAAAGGGTTTGCTGCTGCCACCGCCCCTCTGAGGGGGCATCTTGTTAAAAGTTTTGCTTTTCTGTGAATTGGAGCGACGGGACTGGTTGCTAAAATTTTCATTTTTGGGGTAGGAAGGTTCACGCTTGCGATTGTAACGCTTGGATCCATTTGAGTTCTTTCCATCTGAAAGCAAAAAGAAATAGTAGTAAGTTTTATGTCTTTCTGTCTATCTTTCAGCACAGTTATATCTATTAAATAAGGAGAAATGGAACAGGCTTTCCACAGCCTCTAAAATGCTACACTCCCACCAGAGCACTGGTGCTCTGAAGAAAACCAACCACAGTGAGGCAGGGTATTAGTTTGGTTTCAGAACAGCCATTCTGTACTAAGCAGAAATCAGCAAGTTCCAGGTTCAGTGAGAGGGGCCCTGCCTCAATCCATAAACAAATAATAATTTATAAATGAGTGACCGGAGCTGGAGAGATGGCTCAGCAGTTAAGAGCACTGACTGCTCTTCCAGAGGTCCTGAGTTCAATTCCCAGCAACCACATGGTGGCTCACAACCACCTTGAATGAGATCTGGTGCCCTCTGCTGGCAGCAGGCAGAAGACATAATAAATAAATAAAATCTTTAAAAAAATAAAAAATAAATGAGTGATCAAGGAAGACACTTGACATCAACTTCACACCGGTGCATACATATAAACAAGCTTATACACTTGTATATACCACACACATGTAAAAGCAAAGAACAAAACAGCCAAGAGCTGTGGCACACCTTATAAACCTAGCACTTACGAAGTAGAGGCAGGAAATAGATGTTCAAAGTCAGCCTGAGCTATACGAGACTACGTCTCGAAAGTTGGGATCTGGAGAGATTGGTCACCCAACTTCAGTTCCCAAATTCACATGATGGATCACAACTGTCTGTAACTCCAGTTCCAAGGGATGCCGTCTTCTGACTGTGGGCACCAGGCATGAATATGGTGCACACATATAAATGCAAACATTCACATACATTTTTTAAAAGTTACTACTTTTCAAAAGCACAGTGAATGGCTACACAGCCGCCTACCATGAACTAATTAATAGGATGATGTAATCAATATGTTTGGCAGTGCCTAAATTCTGCTAGTTTAATATAATAGTACTGGAGCTTTTTTATAAAGAGGTCTATATGGTCATGTCAAATAGTCAAAGTGGAATGTACTTATAAAGTACAACCATGAAAACCCTTTGCATATCCTAAAGTTACATTATAGAAATTAATGACAATAGACTTATACCCTACAGCAACATAAAAGAGAACATCAAGCTCACTACATCCTGTAACTACAATAACAACCTGAACCAACTTTGTTCAAATGCAAGGATAAATGATTTCTGATTTTATTTGGAGTTTTCTCTAATTAGCAACAAATACTTTTGTGTTGCTGACAATCTATATTCTCACATAGCTCCAGGCTGGCCTCAAACTCACTCTACATGTAAGAATGACAAGGGACCCAATTCTCCTGCCTCTACCTCCCAAGTGCTAGGATTATGGTTGTGTACCACTCAGCCTGGCTGCCCTGTTTTTTCTTTTCTTACTAAGAGGATAAACCTCAGGAATTTTGTTGCCAGTATGCACAAATTGCTAATGGAATTTAACAAAAAACCTGGGTCAGTATGTGGTAGAGTATTATTTTAAGGTGTGTGACTTTTGTTTATGCTGCATTTGTTTAACTTTGTGAAACTGTGTTACTGTACCTGTCTAAAACACCTGGTGGTCCTAATAAAGAGCTGAACGGCCGATATAGAGGCAGGAGAAAGGATAGGTGGGGCTGGCAGACAGGACAAATAGAAGGAGAAAGAGAACAAGAGGGTGCCAGGAGCCAGTCAGTCACACATCCAACCAGCCTCATAGTAACAGATTTACAAAAGTGCAAGAACAGGAAAAACACAAAGGCAAAAGGTAGATAGAATAATTTAAAATAAGGAAAACTGGCAAGAAACAAGCCAAGCTAAGGCCAGGGATTCATAAACAATAATAAGACTGTGTGTGATTTATTTGGGAGCTGGGTGGTGGGCCCTTCAAAAAGCCAAGAGTAAAAAACAAGGCACTACACTACAGATGTCAAGTTTACCAGCTTAAAAAAAAAGGGGGGAGGTGGAGCAAGAGGTTCAGTTGAATATAAAGTGTCTGATCTACAAGCATGAAGCTCTTGTGCGGAGCCCAGGGCCCACATAAGAGCTAGACGCAGCAGTGTGCAACTCTAGCTCAAGGGGAGACAGAGGCAACTGCAGTCCAGGGCTTGATGGACAGCAAGTTTAACCAAAAAGGCAACCTCCGGGTTCAGTGAGAGATACAGCCTCAAAAAAATAAAGTGAGGATAGCCAATGAGACTTTATCAAAATAAAAAAGGCAGAAAAAGAACCATATAACTAAATAAAAATGTAAAATTAAAACACATACAAAACTACCTCATAAAAATAAACAGAAAGGCCCCAAAATCACACTGTCATCCTATTGCAATGTGGAAATCTGATTAAGGGCAGGGAATGGATATGTAAATATGAGTAGTAATTAAAGAAGAATTAAAGAGGAAAGGAAAAACTTAGCTGCACATGGTTGCACCCCGGGCACTCTGAAGGAAGAGGCAGCCAATAGACAGTTACATGTCAACCAGGGCTACACAGCTACATAGTAAGTCCCTCACTCAAAAAAGGGTGGGAATTTTCTTTTTCTTTGAGATAGTTATGCACTGAACAGCTCTGAGTCCCAGCTCAGGCTCCTGAGTAGCTGAGATGTAGGCACACATCCTTTAGCCCAGCTAATGCTGGGGATGCTCAGACTCTCCCCTAAGAGGATGGCAAGGCATTCCAGCATGAGCCTCAGAAACGGAGGACTTTGACTCCCTTCTCCAAATATAACTTCATTTTGCTTATGTTAAAATATGTAACTTGGGGCTGGAGAGATGCCTCAGGGGCTGAAGCATTCCAGTTCCGGGGTATCTGGCATCCTCCTCTGTCCCCCTGAGCACCAGGCACTCATATGGTTCAAAGACACACACACAGGAAAAACAAAAAGACTGTACACCGAAAAATAAAAAAAATTGTTTTAAAAATATATAACTGAGCTGGGTGGTGTGGTACAGGCCTTTAACCCCAGCACTAGGGAGGCAGAAGCAGGTGAATCTTTGAGGTTTAAGGCCAGCCTAGTCTACAGAGCTAGTTCCAGAACAGTCAGGGCTACACAGAGAAACCCTGTGGGGAGGGGGGGGGACGGGACAAACAAACAAACAAAAAAATGGATTTGGTAATGCACACGTTCAATCCTAGCACTAGTCTAGGACTCCAGCACTTGGGAAATGCAGAATCAGCACCTCAAGGCCAGCCTGGGCTAGAGTATGACACTTTGTCTCAAAATACACATATACATACACTTAAAAAAAACATACCTGAAAAAAAAATTAAAAGAAACATACCTGTAAAGAAAATACATCCAGCTATTGATACATCTGTAATTTGTCTGCTTAGACAACTTTTTAAAAATAATAAATAAGAATAGATACTACATTTGATCTTAGCCAAAAGGCAGAGAAGAGACAGCAAAGCACTGAGCCGAACTCCTGGAATCCAGTTGTAGAAAGGGAGGAGTGATGAGCAAAGGGGTCAAGACCATACTGGGGAAACCCACAAAAACAGCTGACCTGCTCAGGGACTCCAGACTGACAGCTGGGGGGAACCAGCATAGGAACAAACAGGTCAGTTGGGGAGCCTGGGCAGTTTATGGGGCTCGAGGCAGTAGAACCAGTATTTATCCCTAGTGCATGAATGGGGCTTTGGGAGCCTATTCCCTATGGAGGGATACTCTCTCAGCCTAGATACAGGGCCTAGGTCCTGCCCCAAATGATGTGACAGACTTTGATGATTCCCTCATGGGAAGTCTCACTCTCCCTGAGGAGTGGATGCGGGGGTGGGCTGGAAGGGGGAACAGGAAGATAGGAGGAAGAGGGACCTGAGATTGGTATGTAAAATAAGGTTGTTTTAATTTAAATAAAAATTAATTAAAAATAATAATAAAGGTGAGTGATTCAGGAACTTCATTATCACTGGAACTTTGGCCCACACAAGCAACCTGATGAGCTTTTAGGAGGTTCCTACACTCAAGACTCACCCTAAAGACTGACTCCAATACAAAAGTACTGCTGTTTTGGGCTGGAGAGATGGCTCAGAGGTTAAGAGCACCGACTGCTCTTCCAGAGGTCCTGAGTTCAATTCCCAGCAACCACAAGGTGGCTCACAACCATCTGTAATGAGATCTGGTGCCTTCTTCTGGTGTGCAGATATACATGGAAGCAGATTGTTGTATACATAATAAATAAATAAAAATCTAAAAAAAAAAAAAAAGTACTGCTGTTTTAACAGAGGATCTCACTCTATAGTTCAAGCTAGCCTAGAACCCACTATACTGTAACTCAGGCTGGCCTCAAACCCAAGGCAATCCTTCTGGAACTACAGGCACAAGCAACCATACTCAACTACCACCTGAGTAGTTTTTTAACTTAAAAGAAACTATTTCTACATACACAAGCTTATTGTATGGCAGGCTAAATAAATCTAAGAAAAATTTGAATCCTAATTTAACTATATTTATTCAGTGAGGTGTTAAGTGTGCGTGAGAGTAGTGAGTGTGAGTGTGTGTACCACAGCATGCATGTGCAGGTCAAAGGACAACTTGCTGAAGTCAGTTTTCTCCTTTTACCATGTAGTCCCAGGGACTGATAAAACTTAGGTGGTCAGGCTTGGCGGTAAGCATCTTTACCTACTGAGACATCCATCTTGCCAGCCCATAAATCCTAATTTTGAAAGCAACCACATCTCATAGGAAGAATGACAGACACACCAGCCACTCCAAACCTAACCAGCCACAGCCAAGAAAGCAAGGAAGCAGTAAGTAGAACAGGTCAGGTCATCACGAAGACTGCCAAGCCAAGCACACTCCTTACAAAGATTAACCACAATTTAAAAGTTGGAATTGGGGCTGGAGTGCTGCTCAGTGATACAGCACTTGTCTAGCATGCACAGGGACTTCTACCTCTTCAGCTAGCAACAAGCACAGCACCGGTGATAGCAAACAGAAATCAGAACTTCAGCCACCACCTGTTGTGGCACGCCTGTAACCCTGGTACTTGAGAGGCAGAGGACTGGAATCTAGACTACCAGTGAGACGTCTCCAAAACA